TTTGTGCGCTATAACGCCATGGTCACACTTGTCGATTAACCCCAATTAGGATATTTCTTTCAGTTACACGATCTCTGATGCTTGGAATATCAAGTTCTTTTTGCATATCTAAAATTTTTGCAGTACGAGGGCATCCTAAAATGATCCTCATTGAGTCGTTCTGCAGTTTTTCCAGCCCTCCAAGCTTCCAGTCAGACACAAGAGCAAGTAGTGGCGCAGCATAATCAACCAATGATCTAATATAAGCAAGATACATCATTTCCACAATTTTAACATTAGCACCATACCTGGGGTGAAACCCTGCCACAACTCTAAGTGCTCTCAGTCTTTCTTTGTATTGGCGACAAAGTCTTGTTACAACAGGTCCAAGCAGCGGAACCTCAAAGCCTAGATACTTGGTATCTGCTTACATATTCTAGAAGAGACCCATCATGCAGTTGGATCTGACGAACTGTGCCTCTCTGTCGAGGAGGACGCCTATTGAGTATCTTTGTTTTATCAGTAGAAATTATCAACCCCAGGTCCTGACACGAGGCTAGTCAAGCTAATGGTTACACTTTGAACTCGTAAAATTGTTAAGCCTCTTTTCTCTGAGTTCACACACAGTTGGTTAGGTAATCGCAGAAAGGACACTCTTCAGGTTGCTCACAGAATTACTTTTTCTTAATCCAAAGTTTTTATTTATAACTCGAAAATGACTTGTCCGATCAGTTTTAAATATTTGCAGCTGGTGTACTGCCGATAGGGAAAAGTTTATGCAGATTATTACATGTGCAAATATCCTCTGGTCATCTTTATAAAGATTATTTCTGATGTTAATTTTTATTGTGATATCTTGAGAAAACCTCTTCTGATTATCTTCCAGCATTCAACCCTCTTGTATTATACTACTTAATTAAAAGAAGGTTGGGATGGTTACTGGAACATATAGGTGCCACTTTGTGAATTTTATTTTTAAAATGTATTTCTTATGTGAAATTATGTGAGCACTCCTCTTCCGAATGTCTTGAAACTTTACTGAATGATACATTTTGTGGGCAGGATGGTACCCAATAAATTTAGCTGTGTAGATGCAAATTTGTCAATTTACTATTATAGTTAATAAACTTAGAATCATTTAATTCTGAGCAATAACTGGAGAATGCGTCTGTTGATTGGCTTTAAACTTCCAACACCTGGAGTTTACCTGGAGAGAGTTCCGGGGGTCAACGCCCCCGCGGCCCGGTCTGTGACCAGGCCTCCTGGTGGATCAGAGCCTGATCAACCAGGCTGTTACTGCTGGCTGCACGCAAACCAACGTACGAGCCACAGCCCGGCTGATCAGGAACTGACTTTAGGTGCTTGTCCAGTGCCAGCTTGAAGACTGCCAGGGGTCTGTTGGTAATCCCCCTTATGTATGCTGGGAGGCAGTTGAACAGTCTCGGGCCCCGGACACTTATTGTATGGTCTCTTAACGTGCTAGTGACACCCCTGCTTTTCATTGGAGGGATGGTGCATCGTCTGCCAAGTCTTTTGCTTTCGTAGTGAGTGATTTTCGTGTGCAAGTTCGGTACTAGTCCCTCTAGGATTTTCCAGGTGTATATAATCATGTATCTCTCCCGCCTGCATTCCAGGGAATACAGGTTCAGGAACCTCAAGCGCTCTCAGTAATTGAGGTGTTTTATCTCTGTTATGCACGCCGTGAAGGTTCTCTGTACATTTTCTAGGTCAGCAATTTCACCTGCCTTGAAAGGTGCTGTTAGTGTGCAGCAATATTCCAGCCTAGATAGAACAAGTGACCTGAAGAGTGTCATCATGGGCTTGGCATCCCTAGTTTTGAAGGTTCTCATTATCCATCCTGTTATTTTATCGCTCCCAGGTCTTTGACGTTGGTGTTTCACTCTATTTTGTGACCAGAATTTGTTTTGTACTCTGATGAAGATTTAATTTCCTCGTGTTTACCATATCTGAGTAATTGAAATTTCTCATCGTTTAACTTCATATTGTTTTCTGCAGCCCACTGAAAGATTTGGTTGATGTCCGCCTGGAGCCTTGCTGTGTCTGCAATGGAAGACACTGCCATGTAGATTCGGGTGTCATCTGCAAAGGAAGACACGGTGCTGTGGCTGACATTCTTGTCTATATCAGATATGAGGATGAGGAAAAAGATGGGAGCGAGTACTGTGCCTTGTGGAACAGAGCTTTTCACCGTAGCTGCCTCGGACTTTACTCTGTTGACTACTACTCTCTGTGTTCTGTTAGTGAGGAAATTATAGATCCATCGACCAACTTTTCCTGTTATTCTTTTAGCACGCATTTTGTGCGCTATTATGCCATGATCAAACTTGTCGAAGGCCTTTGCAAAGTCTGTATATATTACATCTGCATTCTTTTTGTCTTCTAGTGCATCTAGGACCTTGTCGTAGTGATCCAATAGTTGAGACAGACAGGGGCGACCTGTTCTAAACCCATGTTGCCCTGGGTTGTGTAATTGATTGGTTTCTAGATGGGTGGTGATCTTTCCTTTTAGGACCCTTTCAAAGATTTTTATGATATGGGATGTTAGTGATATCGGTCTGTAGTTCTTTGCTATTGCTTTACTGCCCCCTTTGTGGAGTGGGGCTATGTCTGTTGTTTTTAGTAACTGTGGGACGGCCCCCGTGTCCATGCTCCCTCTCCATAGGATGGTAAAAGCTCGTGATAGGGGCTTCTTGCAGTTCTTGATGAACACGGAGTTCCATGAGTCTGGCCCTTGGGCAGAGTGCATGGGCATGTCATTTATCGCCTGTTCGAAGTCATTTGGCGTCAGGATAACTTCAGATAGGCTTGTGTTAACCAAATTCTGTGGCTCTCTCATAAAAAATTCATTTTGATCTTCGACTCTCAGTCTGGTTAGTGGCTTGCTAAAAACTGAGTCATATTGGGACTTGAGTAGCTCACTCATTTCCTTGCTGTCATATGTGTAGGACCTATCTTGTTTAAGTAGGGGCCCAATACTGGACGTTGTTCTCGACTTTGATTTGGCATATGAGAAGAAGTACTTTGGGTTTCTTTCGATTTCATTTATGGTTTTTAGTTCTTCCCACGATTCCTGACTCCTATAAGATTCCTTTAGCTTAAGTTCGATGCTTGCTAATTCTTTAACTAGTGACTCCCTACGCATTTCAGATATATTGACCTCTTTTAGCCGCTCTGTTATTCTTTTCCGTCTCCTGTAAAGGGAGCGCCTGTCTCTTTCTATTTTACATCTACTCCTCCTTTTTCTTAGAGGAATAAGCCTTGTGCATACATAGAGTGCCACCGAGTTAATCTGTTCTAGGCATAAGTTGGGGTCTGTGTTGCTTAGTATATCTTCCCAGCTTATATCGGTTAGGACTTGGTTTACTTGGTCCCACTTTATGTTTTTGTTATTGAAGTTGAATTTGGTGAATGCTCCCTCGTGGCTAATCTCATTATGTCGGTCTGGGGTCCGTGCACATGTCTGAACCTCAATTATGTTGTGATCTGAGTATATTGTTTTTGATATGGTGACATTTCTTATCAGATCATCATTGTTAGTGAAGATGAGGTCTAGTGTATTCTCCAGTCTAGTAGGCTCTATTATTTGCTGGTTTAAATTTAATTTTGTGCAGAGATTTAAAAGCTCATGTGTGTGAGTTCTCATCAGAGCTGCCTCCTGGTGTTATTACTGCAACAACATTATTTGCTATATTCTTCCATTTTAGGTGCCTTAAGTTGAAATCCCCAAGGAGCAAGATGTTGGGGGCAGGAGCTGGCAGATTTTCCAGACAGTGGTCAATTTTTAACAGCTGTTCCTGGAATTGCTGGGATGTTGCATCCGGGGGCTTGTAGACTACCACAATGACTAGGTTTTGGTTCTTGATCTTTACTGCTAAAACTTCCACTACATCATTTGAGGCATTAAGCAGTTCTGTGCAAACAAGTGACTCTGCAATGTACGGGCAACCCCCCCTCCCCATTTTGCCTGTTCACTCTGTCGCATCTGTATAGGTTGTAACCTGGGATCCATATTTCGTTGTCCAAGTGATCCTTTATGTGGGTCTCAGTGGTGTGTTTTCCTCAAAGAAAGCTATGCATAGGTTTTGGGCTGTGGGAATCTTAATTTTCTTAATTTATTTAACAAATTGATTTCTGTGCAATTGCTCGAGAATGCTTATTCTGATCGACTGGCGTATCGTCGAGAAAAGATTGGATTGATTATGGGTTATTTATATGCTTGTTTGTCACTTTTATTGAAAAAGCTTGGAAAATTGAAATGTAAGTTTCAATGTGATAATTTGTGAATGCCTGATGCGATTGGTTACAAACATTCCTACTTGGCAGCTTATTCCACTCATCCTCAGCTACATTTCTAAGCCAGTGATTTTCTATAACTTCTCTAAATCTAAATTATCCAATTTGAATCCAATGTAGAGAGTCCGACCTTGGTTAGATACATGTAGTATATCCCAGCATCATATTTACATCCTCTATTAATTCAAATTTTCAGTATGAACATGCCAGTTACATACTGATTTATTTGACATCTTTCAACAGAGAATGTACTAAACTATTTTCATAAAAGTTTTCAAATACAAAGGATGAACTTTGTCATCCTTCTCTGTAGTTCCTGGTAAGATATAAGCACATCTGCTGGTGAATGAGACATTTATACAATATTTTGCCAACTGATCGCTTTGTTTTAAGTTTTAAGGGTTTAATCTTAACTGGTTTCTACTGTAACTTACGGCTAGGCTTTAATAATAAAATGTTACAAGGACCCCAATGGAAATAGATCACTTTTTTGGATTATCATAGATTATTTACACACGTTACTGTGTATGATAATTGAATGTACTTGTATCTGTACCTAAATGTTAAACTAAATAAACTTATCTAATATTGCACAAGTGTCTCTCATTCATCAACTTGTTGGTTTTCTAAACTATTTATACAAGAAGTCTGCTGAAGCTTCCAGTGTGCTACAGGCTCTGCATGGCCCCAACAATCTTTTGTTACAGGAGCCTGGCATGGGCGTAGTGAGGTCTGCCTGGTTCCTGGTGTTGACTGGCGGTGCTGTGGCCATGGTGGTGGTGGTGGTGGCTTGTACCCTGGCAGCAAGATGGTGTGTCACTGGCATGCACCACCAGATGCCCTCAGGTGAGTACACTGAGACCTCTATGAGTACATTCAGGCCTCAGGTGAGTACATGAAGTCTTCATGGAGAATTAAAGTGAATTTGCCAAGGGGCTCTTGATCAAAAAAATTGAACCTCCCCTTCCCTTGGATCAAACATGAATGCCTTCCATTCTCCCAGGAGCTATATGACCCATACAGGTTAGTGCTTCCTATGAATAAAATGTAAAAAGATATTATTGGCACATATAAATTACAGTAAGTAGATATAACTTGAGGTAGCACAATAATTTTAATAAAGTAAAGGAAACATAGCTATGTAATTGCTGTATTCATATAGCTGATTGTATGGTTAAAGTGGTTTAAACGTTATCAACTATATGTGGGTCATTAAGGCTACATATCACGTGTCGGTATTTTATACCATTTTAATGTTCAACATGTACTATATATAAACTGAGAGATGTACAGTATATCCTGCCTATTTTTATTTTATGTAACTGATATACTTAATTTACATTTCTGTTCATTGATAACTATAATTAATATACTGTACTCGTATAACTAATATTTATATGCAGCACATGGATCCCACCATAAATAAGTTAGTGTGTTACTTGGGTTATCCATAATTAATTTATACACAAATTACTGTATAAGGCAACTGTAAAAATCTAAACTTCTGTAATGAGCCTAAATAAAAACTTAGATTATGGCCTGGTGGCAAAAGCTCTTGTTTCACACGCTGAGTGTCCAGGTTCGATTCCTGGTGAGGGTTGAAACATTGGGCGTGTTTCCTTACATCGGTTGTTTAAGTTCACCTGTGAGTAAAATGGGTACCTGGGTGTTAGTCAGTTGGTATGGGTTACATCCCATGACAAAATTGGCCTAATTTGCTTGAAATGCTCTGAATAACAAAGGGCTTTCTATATAGTAGTAAGTCACTGATGTCAGATAGGCCTGTATACCTTGTACATGTAGAAATAAAGATATTATTATTCCTATTACTATTACAGTGTAATGGGGAGTCCATCACTTTGGTTTCATCAGTAAAATATCTGAGAATCCCCTTTGACCCATGCATGTCAGGAGAATTGATAGGGAAGAGTGTAGTAAAGAAAGCGAATGCCAGACTGAAGTTCCTGTATAGACAAGCACAGTGTCTACCTACTGAGGCTCGCAGGACCCTATGTCTAGCCCTTATACAATGCCATATGGATTACGCTTGCTCTTCATGGTACTCTGCCTTGACAAAAAAACTGAAAGATAGACTGCAAATCACCCAGAACAAAATCGTAAGATTCATCCTGGGGCTGGGACCAAGAGAGCATGTAGGCCAGGATGAATTACAGCAGTTGGATATGCTGAATGTTGAAGACAGAGTAAAACAACTGAAGCTAAATCATGTTTATAAAATTGCTCACAAACAGTGTCCAGAATATCTTGCTGTCAATTTTGTCAAGGTTGGGGAAACCCAAAAAGCAATCATAGTACTAGGGGATGAGAGCACAACTTTGTAGTACCCCATCAGTGGCCAGGCTTCAAACACCTTTTATTGTAAAAGCAATAAAGGAATGAAACAGACTGCCCGCACATGTCAAAGCCAGTCATAGTATGAACCAGTTCAAGAAGAGTGCCAAAAGGTGTCTGATGAATGTAGTACAGAAAGGGAGGGGAATGATTTTTTTATTTTTTAGCTAACTACGTGTAAATTTTACCTTATTCCTTGTAATGACCCTCGTATTGTAGATAGTCTTAATGACCCTCGTGTAGTAGATAGTCTTTTTGGTATGATAATAAGATGTTATCTTCATTGTAGAATAATAAGAAAATATTATAACCTTTATATTATAATAATAAGGTAAAAGGACCCCAATGGAAATAAGTCACTCTGTCTGACTTTTTTGGGTTATCCCAGGTTCTCTACACATATGCTGCTATGTATGATAATTCTATGTAACTGTATTTGTGTATACCTGAATAAACTTACTTACTTACTTGCCTCCGACAGTTTAGCCTTATTAAGGATATATTTGAGTAAGTGTTTAAACTACGTTTTCTTAAATATAACAGAAAATGAATAATCTCACAATTATAGGAGAGATTTATATATTTATATTTTCTGAGGCATTATATCTTAAATTTAGGTTCTATGAAATAATATAACTTATTTCAGTCAGGATGAGTTTAAATAAATATATCCAATGGGTGTTTTCCCCAAAATAATTTTTTGGCAGTACTGCATATATTTTGAAAATCAGAATAAAAAGAACCAATAAGAATTTTTAATGTTTGATTAAATACAACATTAATGTTTAAATAACAAAAAAAAGGCACAATACCGCGACTGGAACGGTTCACAAATAACCCGCACATAGAAGAGAGGAGCTTACGATGACCCATACCAGTCTGACTTGGACCATTTACAGCCACACTAACGAGAAGTACGAACGAACGAACAAGTTCAGGTAAGATCCCAAATGGGATGAGCGGGGAAGACGGGACAGACGAAGAATAGCACTGGAGAGGAGTGCTCTTAGCCGTAGAAATAGAGCCAGGGCTTAACCTAGCAGCGAATGCGATCGTGGGACAGATATTGAGAAGAGAAATACAGGCTCTTCTGTTGAGACTCCGGTGGGTTGAGCGGGGAGGACGGGAGAGGCGATGATTAGCGCTAGAGAGGAGTGTAGAAGATAAGATTAGAACTGAGCCATGTCTTAAGGGGCCTGTCAAATCAAAAGCTAAGGCGAACGTGGGTCAGAGAATGAACAGCTCATGGTACCTGTCAGAGAATCCAAGGTTATTTGTAAATAGGGTTAGGAGCAGGATCATACAAGGAGTAGCAAAGGTTGTGTTGGTTTGTGGGTCTGCGAATGTCTTCGTCAAGGAGAGAGGTCCAATAGTCATGTCGTGTCTCAAGTTTGTCTATCTGTCTGTCACTGAGCGTCTTCCAGCATAGATTCAGCGCAGAGATGTCTAATTGGACATGGAGAGACTCGCTTGTGGCGAAGTCCTCCCATCTGACATCAAGCACCCAGCGCAGCGCCTTGTTCTGGACACGCTGCAGTTTAAGTAAGTTTGTTTTAGCGGCTAGAGGAGAGTAAGTTATCAGAGGACGTATTAGGGATTTGTAGAGGTGTAGTTTGGTGTGTTGGGAGGCATGTTGAAGCTTGTAGAGGCCCGCAAGGGCCTTACTAGCTATTGCATGCCTTGAGTGAATATATGTGTAAGCGAAGAAGGTAGTCAGGATTAACGCCAAGGACAGTGACAGATTGTGTGATGGGGATGTAAGTGCGGGTGTCAGCTGTTCTGAGCTCGACAGGTAATGGAGGATCACGTTTCCTGTAGTTAAAATATGTAATGCCTGGATTTAGCTGCATTGGTTTTGATCCTTCATTTTTGTTCCCAGATGTCTATCCTGTCGACCTCATTTTGTTTTGTGTGAGTGTATCTATATTGGCGTGAGTGATGAGTTGTATATAATGTCGTCTGCATAGGCTAGTGTGATGGAGTTGTGGTATACAGGTGTTGGAATGTCGTTAGTGTATAAAATGTAGAGGGTAGGGGAGAGGACAGATCCCTAGGGTACTCCAGCATTTAGTGTGAAGTAGTCCGAGTAACAGCCTTGGAATTTTATTCTCATGGTACGGCCATCTAGGAAATTGCAGAGGAGTTTATGAGTAGTGAGAGGCAGGTTAAAGTTAGTGCAGAGTTTGTACTTGAGCCCTTCGTGCCAGACAGTGTCAAAAGCCATCAGAAAGTAGAGAGTTGTGTTCCAGGTATCTGCGAAGGCGATGGTTGATGAGTTTTTCAAAGAGTTTTCCTAAAGTTTCGAGGATCAGAGTGGTCTTTTTTGGGTTTAGGAAGGAGGATAGCAGTAGCAGCTTTGAAGAGGGAAGAGAAGTATCCAGAGACAAGGGAGGCATTGAGGAGGTTTGTGTAGGCAGTAATGATAGAGTCAGGAATTTGTTTTAGGATACTATGGTTTAGGCCAAAGGCACCAGGAGCCTTGGAAGGAAGGTGTCTGAGGAGAGTTTTAATGTGTGTGTTGGTGAAAGGAGTGTCGAGTTCTTGGGAGAGGTAAGAGAGTCCAGATGGATGTGGCTATCTGGTGTTGTTTCTTGTGTGTGTGCAGAGTTCCAGTGTTCCATGTTTTGAATGTGTCGAATAACGTTAGGGTGAGGTGGGTGAGGGTGGAAGATGTTCTTCCAGATGTGTTTGAAGATGTTGTGGCAGCCTGGGTCTGAGATGTGTGTGTTGTTGTGGGTGATGTGTTTGAATTTGTTGGTGGGAGTTGTGCCTCTGATTTTTTTGATAAAGTTCCAGAAGGCTTTAGTGTTTTTAATACGCTGTTTGCCTGCTTGTTGTACGAGTTGTGACGAGTGATTGTTGTGGTCTTGGTCTAGGCTGTGTAAAATGTTGTTTCTAAGTTAAGTGAGATCTAATCGGACTTGATTTAATCTATGTGTGTTGTAGAGGAAGCGGTTGATGGTGAAGACGAATGTCCAGTAACCACCATTCTGAGGAAAGTCATTCTCAACACGGGGTAATTAGAGAGGGGAGATCGTTTGTCGATGAAGGTGTGTGTGTGATGATGAACGAAAAATAGAGCAGGATGGGTATATATAGGCAGGAAGAGGTAGTGGTAGTAGTAGTAGTAGTAGTAGTAGTGGCGGAGGTGGAAGGAAGTAGTGGTGGGGAAGTAAGGAGGAGGAGCCAGTCAGATACAAAGAAAGGGGAGCACTGCAAGGGAGCTAGGTGCCCACAGAGGGAGAGCAAGAACACAGAGGTGGGGGGGAAATAATAAAATAAATAATGAATGAATAGAAACATTAGGCAGAAGAAAGAAAGACAACCCAGAAGAGAAAAAGGAAGAGGAAAGGGGAAGAGGGAGAAGAAGAAAAAGGAGGAATCTAGTTAAGTCACGGGTGTTCTGAAGTTTGGAGCATTTTGCAATGTAGTGGGAGAGGAAGGCATCTACAGAGACGAAGCCACGACTATCATTCATACAAGGAAAGTTGTGTATTAGGGAGAATTCAACCAGATGGCGACTGTTAAAGTTGGAAGTAGGAAAGACAGTTTTAACAGAAGACCAGTCAATAGGATGACTGTGATCTCTGACGTGACAGAAAAGAGCATTGTTAGTGTCAGCAAGCCTAACACTATTTTTGTGCTCCCTAAGTCTGTCAGAAAGAGATCGACCAGTTTCTCCAAAGTATTGAAGAGGACAGGAGGAGCAAGAAATAGAGTAGACACCAGGAACATTGTGAGGGAGGAGAGGTATGAACGAGATTATTTGCGAAGAGTGTTAGTCTGGGGGGAAATAAGCTTGATGTCTAGGAACGGAGGAGAGTTGTTGAGATTATAAAGAGGGAAATGTAGGGAAGGCAGAGGAGGAAGGTTCCCAGGAGTAGAGAGTTTGGGAGAGAAGAAATTACGTTTAGCACGTGAGAGGCAGAGTCTATGAAATGGGAAGGGTAGCCAAGACGAGAAAATGAATTATGAAGAGTGGAAATTTCTGATTGAAGGAACTGAGGATCACAAATGCAGAGAGCACGGAGAAAGAGGGAGATAAGAACACTTTTCTTGACAGGGGAAGCATGATAGGAAAAGTATTGAATGTACATGCCACTGTGCATAGGTTTTCGGTAAATGGAAAAGGAAAAACCTGTATCTGAGCGGTGGAGATGAACATCAAGGAAAGGAAGCAAGGAATTAGATTCCCATTCAGCTTTAAACTTAATGGAAGGGGCAAGATTATTAAGAGCTTCAAGAAATGGTTGGAAGAGACTAGAGTCATGAGGCCACAGAGCAAAGATGTCATCCCCTTTCCTCTTTCTTTTTCTCTTCTGGGTTGTCTTTCTTTCTTCTGCCTTGTGTTTCTGTTCCTTTATTATTTTATTATCCCCCCACCTCTGTGTTCTTGCTCTCCCTCTGTGGGCACCTAGCTCCCTTGTGGGCACCTAGCTCCTTTTTCAGTGCTCCCCTTTCTTATTATTTGACTGGCTCTTCCTCCTTACTTCCCCACAACTACTTCCTTCCACCTCCCCCACTACTACTACTACTATTACTACTACTACTACTACTACTACTACTAGTACTACTACTACTAGTACTACTACTACTACTACTACTACTACTAGTACTACTACTACTACTACTACTACTACTACTACTACTAGTACTACTACTACTACTACTACTACTACTACTACTACTAGTACTACTATTACTACTACTACTACTACTACTACTACTACTACTACTACTGCCACTACCACTTCCTGCCTATATATACCCATCCTGCTTTACTTCTTGTTAGTGTAACTTTATAAATGGTCCAAGTCGGACCGAAACGTCGTCGTAAGCTCCTCTCTTCTATGTGCGGGTTATTTGTGTAACATTAATATTTCACTGAAAATTTAGACAATCTGATACACTAACTTTAAACATTTTATTTACTTTTCTAACATATATAAAAATTAATGAGTCTCGTTTAAAGTCACACTCTGTCTGCTGGTGGATATTATTACTCCAGCACTCCAAGAAAAAGATTCGCTTTTATCATGAAAAAGAATCCATTAAGGAACTCCCATGAAGGATACTGTAAAACAAAGTAATCTCCACAGGTTATCAAACAGCGCTTTATTATGTGTGTAGTGTATAAAGGTTTATTCCCCAGTAATAAAAAATAGGAACACTGAATAAAGATACAATGCTAAAACTATTAAACATAATAATATTTAATATTTTACAATAAGCACATTTAAGAAACCATATTTTTGTATTGTACTGAGTGTACTTGATGAGGTTGATGGCCCAACAGAGGTGAGCAAGGGGAAAGTGCTTAGTGTGGGGGGCCCCTGGGTGGATGTAGGGGGCCTCTGGGCCCCTGGACCCTCACACCACAGTTCCGACAAGTCTGAGAGGAAACTCCTTGCCTCCAGTGGGTCTCCCTTGGCTGCTGAGTACTTCCAGGCGGAGGCTGTGACCTCCCACCTCAAGGATGACCTACCCACCAAGACCAGGCTAGCAGGTCAGTTTTCAAGAACAAGGGGTAAGGTTCAAAGGGGATATGGAAAGGGGCAAAGTTAAAGGATATGAAAGTGAAAAGTAAGGGATGTTAGAAGTGAAAAAAAATTAAGTAAAGAAGCTGGATTATATCGGAAATGTTAAAAAAAAATATTCATAATTAAGGGTTAAGGATAATCACATAGTGAAATCAAGTGACAGAAAGAAAGATGAATGGAAGCTATTGAATAATGTATATAAACATAATGTGTATAGATATATTTGTCTCCCTATACGTCTGTGGTGTGAGTCATGGTAGTGATGTGCTGGTGGTGACAACGTGGTGATGGTGGTGTTGTACTAATGGCATATTAACATAGTGACCGCATGTGGTGTCATGCTGATGGCAACACAACATGGTAAATGAGTTCTGGTGGTATTACAGAGTCGTGGCCGTCTGATTACCTGTCTCCCTCTCCCTCACCTTCATCAGCTTCGTGTCAGCGTGCTCAGCACCACACCCAGGTCAGTTAAGGGTCAAGTATGTGTCTTACAGGTAAAGAAGTGCATTCGAGGTCAAGAAGCATTTAAGTTAGACCTAAAGAAGTGTGTGAGTTAGAGGTCAAGAAGTGTATTAGAGGCATTGAGTGTAAAAGGTAAAGGGTGGTAATCAGTACTGTTGTTCATTTAGCTAACTCTCTTTTTGTACATTTAAAAAATCCTACTAAATGATGTCTTGTTCTTAAGTAATCTTTAAGCATTAAGATTAGTTTGCTCATAATCCATTACATGTTAGTGGCATTCTTTTGTGCCTAACAATATTATATTACATGTAAACTGTTATCTGTGTACTACGTAAAAGAAATAAGAATATGAATTTGAATTTGAAACAATACCCTGTTGAGAAGCCCTTGTAAACAATACCCTGTTGAGAAGCCCTTGTAAACAATACCCTGTTGAGAAGCCCTTGTAAACAATACCCTGTTGAGTAGCCCTTGTAAACAATACCCTGTTGAGTAGTCTATGTAAACAATACCCTGTTGAGTAGCCCTTGTAAACAATACCCTGTTGAGTAGTCTATGTAAACAATACCCTGTTGAGTAGCCCTTGTAAACAATACCCTGTTGAGTAGTCTATGTAAACAATACCCTCTTGAGTAGTCTATGTAAACAATACCCTGTTGAGTAGCCCTTGTAAACAATACCCTGTTGAGTAGTCTATGTAAACAATACCCTGTTGGGTAGCCTTTGTAGACAATACCCTGTTTGAGTAACCAATGTAAACATTACCCTGTTTGAATAGACTTTGTAGACATTACCCTGTTTGAGTAGACTTTGTAGACATTACCCTGTTTGAGTAGACTTTGTAGACATTACCCTGTTTGAGTAGACTTTGTAGACATTACCCTGTTTGAGTAGACTTTGTAGACATTACCCTGTTTGAGTAGCCTTTGTAGACAATACTCTGTTTGAGTAGCCTTTGTAGACAATTTTCCTGTTTGAGTGCCTTTGTAGACAATACCCTGGTTTTTGAGTAACCAATGTAGACTTACCCTGTTTTTAATAGACTTTGTAGACATTACCCTGTTTGAGTAGACTTTGAGACATTACCCTGTTTGAAATAGACTTTGTAGACATTACCCTGTTTGAGTAGACTTTGTGCATTACCCTGTTTTTAAATAGACTTTGTAGACATTACCCTGTTTGAGTAGACTTTGTAGACATTACCCTGTTTGAGTAGACTTTGTAGACATTACCCTGTTTGAGTAGACTTTGTAGACATTACCCTGTTTGAGTAGACTTTGTAGACATTACCCTGTTTGAGTAGACTTTGTAGACATTACCCTGTTTGAGTAGACTTCGTAGACATTACCCTGTTTGAGTAGACTTTTAGACCCTTACCCTGTTTTAGTAGACTTTGTAGACATTACCCTGTTTGAGTAGCCTTTGTAGACAATACTCTGTTTGAGTAGCCTTTGTAGACAATATCCTGTTTGAGTAGCCTTTGTAGACAATACCCTGTTTGAGTAACCAATGTAGACATTACCCTGTTTGAATAGACTTTGTAGACATTACCCTGTTTGAGTAGACTTTGTAGACATTACCCTGTTTGAGTAGACTTTGTTTGACATTACCCCGTTTGAGTAGACTTTGTAGACATTACCCTGTTTGAGTAGACTTTGTAGACATTACCCTGTTTGAGTAGACTTTGTAGACATTACCCTGTTTGAGTAGACTTTGTAGACATTACCCTGTTTAAGTAGACTTCGTAGACATTACCCTGTTTGAGTAGACTTTGTAGACATTACCCTGTTTGAGTAGACTTTGTGGACAGTACCCTGTTTGAGTAGACTTTGTAGACAGTTTCCCCGTTTGAGTAGACTTTGTAGACAGTACCCTGTTTGAGTAGACTTTGTAGACAGTACCCTGTTTGAGTAGACTTTGTAGACAGTACCCTGTTTGAGTAGACTTTGTAGACAGTACCCTGTTTGAGTAGACTTTGTAGACAGTACCCTGTTTGAGTAGACTTTGTAGACAGTACCCCGTTTGGTAGACTTTGTAGACAGTACCCTGTTTGAGTAGACTTTGTAGACAGTACCCTGTTTGAGTAGACTTTGTAGACAGTACCCTGTTTGAGTAGACTTTGTAGACAGTACCCTGTTTTAGTAGCTTTGTAGACAGTACCCTGTTTGAGTAGACTTTGTAGACAGTACCCTGTTTGAGTAGACTTTGTAGACAGTACCCTGTTTGAGTAGACTTTGTAGACAGTACCCTGTTTGAGTAGACTTTGTAGACAGTACCCTGTTTGAGTAGACTTTGTAGACAGTACCCTGTTTGAGTAGACTTTGTAGACAGTACCCTGTGAGTAGCATTTGTAAACAATACAGTACAACTATTTCTTTTCTGTGGTATACAAAATGTAGTTGATATGTACTAAAATATTGTTAAGCACAAGACAGCCACTAACTTGTGGCGCCCAGACACAACTTGTGGCGCCCAGACACAACTTGTGGCACCCAGACACAACTTGTGGCGCCCAGACACAACTTGTGGGGCCCCCGACACAACTTGTGGCGCCCAGACACAACTTGTGGCACACAGACACCCAAATTGTGGCACCCAGACACAACTTGTGGCACCCAGACACAACTTGTGGCGCCCAGACACAACTTGTGGCACCCAGACACAACTTGTGGCGCCCAGACACAACTTGTGGCGCCCAGACATAACTTTTGGCACCCAGACACAACTTGTGGCACCCAGACACAACTTGTGGTGCTCAGACACAACTTGTGGCGCCCAGACACAACTTGTGGCGCCCAGACACAACTTGTGGCGCCCAGACACAAAATTGTGGCGCCCGACACACTTGTGGCGCCAGACACAACTTGTGGCGCCCAGTCACAACTTGTGGCGCCCAGACAAAAACTTGTGGCGCCCAGACCCAAACTTTGTGGCGCCAGGCACAACTTGTGGCGCCCAGGACACAACTTGTGGCACCCAGACACAAAAAATTGTGGCGCCCAGACACAACTTGTGGCACCCAGACCCCAACTTGTGGCGCCCAGACACACTTGTGGGGGCCCAGACACAACTTGTGGCGCCCAGGCACAACTTGTGGCGCCCAGACACAACTTGTGGCGCCCAGACACAACTTGTGGCGCCCAGACACAACTTGTGGCGCCCAGGCACAACTTGTGGCGCCCAGACACAACTTGTGGCGCCAGGGCACAACTTGTGGCGCCCAGACACAAACTTGTGGCGCCCAGGACACAAAATTTTGGCGCCCAGAAAACAACTTGTGGCGCCCAGGCACAGCTTGTGGCGCCAGACACAACTTGTGGCGCCCAGACACAACTTGTGGCGCCCAGACACCAAAATTGTGGCGCCCAGACACAACTTTTGGCGCCCCAGACACAACTTGTGGCACCCAGACACAACTTGTGGCGCCCAGACACAACTTGTGGCGCCCAGACAAAATTGTGGCGCCCAGGCACAACTTGTTTGGGGCCCAGACCAACTTGTGGCGCCCAGACACAACTTGTGGCGCCCAGACATAACTTGTGGCAACCCAGACACAAATTGGGGGCGCCCAGACACAACTTTTTGGCGCCAGGCACAACTTGTGGCGCCCAGGGCACAAAATTGTGGGCCCAGACACAAAATTGTGGCGCCCAGAATAACTTGTGGGACCCAGAAAACAAACTTGTGGCACCCAGACACAACTTGTGGCACCCAGACACAATTGTGGTGCTCAGACAAAATTGTGGCGCCCCAGACACAACTTGTGCGCCCAGAACAACTTGTGGCGCCAGACACAACTTGTGGCACCCAGACACAAACTTGTGGTGGGTCAGGACACAACTTGTGGCGCCCAGACACAACTTGTGGCGCCCAGACACAACTTGTGGCGCCCAGACACAACTTGTGGTGCCCAGACACAACTTGTGGCGCCCAGACACAACTTGTGGCACCCAGACACAACTTGTGGCGCCCAGACACAACTTGTGGCACCCAGACACAACTTGTGGTGCTCAGACACAACTTGTGGCGCCCAAAACACAACTTGTGGGCCCGACAAACTTTTGGCGGGCCCAGACACAACTTGTGGTGCCCAGACACAACTTGTGGCGCCCAGACACCACTTGTGGCGCCCAGACACAACTGTCAACCCAGAAAAATTATGAAATGTAGAAATGGTATTTTTATAAATCTGAACTTAACATAATTATCTTTCAGTGTTTTTGGGTATGCCAAATGAGATAAATCTGTGGACTAAAATCACAAGGGTATTAAAAGAGGATAACATCAAAGCTGCTTTCATAGAAAACCTGGAAGCTTTCTACAACAGATGGGAACATAAAAAGTCTGGGCTGAATGGTACTGCCCTTGATACTGGCCATGTAGTCAGAAACTGTAAGGCTGGAGATGATGTCCTGGTAGTCAGTAAATGTGGGGCTGATAGTGCTGTCCTGGGAGACAGTAATGGTGAAGCTGGAGGTGCTGTCCTGGGAGACAGTAATGGTGAAGCTGGAGGGGCTGTCCTGGGGGACAGTAATGGTGAAGTTTGGGGGTGCTGTCCTGGGAGACAGTAATGGTGAAGCTGGAGGTGCTGTCCTGGGAGACAGTAATGGTGAAGCTGGAGGTACTGTCCTGGGAGACAGTAATGGTGAAAACTGGAGGTGCTGTCCTGGGAGACAGTAATGGTGAAGCTGGAGATTTTGTCCAGGTAGTCGGGGAATTATACGCAGGAAGGAATACATAAAATGACCTCATAGGGGACAGGAGCCATAGTGGGGAAACAAGTGTAGTCAAAGATTAAAATAAAACCAATATTGCAAACTAGAAATACCACAGGAAATAGCAAACAAGAGGACTTCACTAGCAATAGTGAGGATATATTACCAAAAACAACTGGTGGGAGCTCCCCTTGTTGGTGCTAGGGAGGATAGGAATAAGACAGGGAAACATGCACCAACAGGGAATACAGTCACAGAAACCCCAAAGGGAAACGGAAATCAAGCC